CTCACTTCCAATCTATGGAGTTACGTCTCCAGTCTCCTTATTCATACTTCATGGTTTGTGCTTCGGCCTTATGAATCCCGGATCGCGTGGCAAATAAGGCAATAAAATAGGATGTTTTGATTGGTCAATTCGGATAACGCGACTCGTGACGCGCTCAGTGGAAACGCACCCCAGGATCTTCTCTAACTGAACGCAGCCATTGGCTACACGATAGGCGAGATTTTCGATGTGGACGCGTTCTCTGTGATTCACGTGATTTGAGTCTCGGAGTGAAAGATTAGGTTAGATCGGTCTAATTTGACGTTTGATTTAAGGTGATACAAATGCGTCGGGGTGCATTAGTGGCGTACGTATTCTCGATACCGACGTTTCTGAGAATCAGCAGCAACAACTGATCGCGCGACAAGAATGGAGCCGGACGAGATTGAGGCAGCCTCGAGATCGGGGACGAGTTTGCGAAACGACAAGAACGCCATCATCGACTACGACGAAGACAGAGTAAGGTTAGAATTAATTCTGCCCGTGGATTGAACGTTTACGAACCTGTTTGCCTCTCGTCCGCGTGATTAGTGTCGTTAAGCAGCGACCGCTTCTTGCGTCGTTCGTCGGTTTGAGGTATCTAGAGAGCGATGAATCAGATTTCGGAAACGTAAATTATTTATACGCAGGGCTAGGTATATTTCAAATACTTGTATTTGAAATACAATTTGTATTTTGTATTTTGTATTTCAGCGGAGCACATAAGAGTATTTTATATTTTATATTTCAAAAAAGTTTTTTATTGTATTTTGTATTTCAAATACAATTTCAATCTATTTTGTATTTGAAATACTAAAGAAATTATTGATAAAAATTTTTGACAATTAATAATAACTTAAATTTTTCTTATGCGACAATTAGCGACACTAATTATTTTTGTCATGTTTCAAATCATATCAAGTCATCAGAGTCAAATTTCATAATCTTACATTAGTAAATAGATTTTTCCTGACGTTGATGCAGGACAATTGGACTGTTTAAGAATGTAAAAGAGTAAAACAACTTTTCTTTCTTTAAAAATGGAGAGGGGACTGTTGGAAGGAGAATTTAACATTATATATTATTGTAATTGAAAGATTAAATTAAAAAGTATTTTGTATTTCAAATAAAAACTTAAAATTATTTTGTACTTTGTATTCCAAATCGAAAGATTGAAAGTATTTTGTATTTTGTATTTCAAATTGAAAGGTTGAAAGTATTTTATATTTTGTATTTCAAATACTATAATGATGTATTTTGCCCAGCCCTGTTTATACGTTGATACTTGCTCGAAATTTGGTAACGAAATATATTAATCTTTGTAAAACAGGAGTCAGATTGAAAGAAAAAGAAGCTCGTAGACGTTCAACACTACATGCATCTTGTTTGCTTCCCAGAAACCCGAAAGGACGATGTTAAAAAGTGTCAATTTTTGTACTTAAAGAAAAAGCGATTGAACCTCAGATCATCTTAATTTGATTTATTTTTTCTTTATTGGGAAATTATGATTTTAGTTCTGAGAGATATTGAAAATGTTATTAGAATAACTACGTTAGAAAAGACTTTAGACCTGTTACTTTAGGTTTACAATGTATTAATAATAATAATAGTAATAATAATAGTAAGCCTTTAGTCTCTGTTTTAAGCTATATATGTATTAATTTGCTTTAAGTTTTAGATCTTACAGCCAATTGCGATCTAGCCAATTTGTTTAAAGCTCAAATTTTATGGCTTAAGGCAATGCCAAAAACATTTTTTGATGGAAAAAGATTTCAGGACAGCTTAGAAGCTAAAGGCTTACTATACTTAATAAACCAATTCTCAAGCAAAGTATTTTTTGTTAATATCTTAATCAGAGAATACACTTGGGACGATTTTTAGTAAGAAAATAAAGCTTACTCATAGTAGATTTCTTTATTTATGAAAATCCGTAGAACATCAAGATTCAAACTTAATATAGTATTGCCTAAATTTATAATTTTAGGCATTATGTGTGTTGACGTTTACATCTGTTTTTTTTCTATTTTTATTTAAAAAAAGAAGGTAATAGATTTGATACACGTCAAACCAATACTCACAGTTATCAATTTTGGACAATATTGTAACACATAATTAAATTATAAATATTAATAAAGTCACACACACACACGCACACGCACACGCGTGCGCGCGTGTACAAAACACACACATGCATACATAGAGTTTGAAGTCATAATAAAATATTACAAGAATCGTGGCAACCTGATCTTGAAAATAATTGATATCTTGAACATATCCTAATTCTGAACAAAGCTAAAAAAAAGTTTCTGTATGTATATCTCAAGCTAGTATATACATTTTTTTTTAGTATGGTATATACCATGGTGGAAAAAAACAAGGTGAAACATTGCGCATAAAGGCGGCATGGAGGTGGCATGGCTTAAAATTTCGGCCAATCAATTGTTCCCCACTGCATCTTGGGGAACAACTGATAATTTAATGTATTTATGTGTAATGTATCATAACACCGACGAAATACTGTTAAAGACCGTCAGCCCTGAGCAAATTTTCGTGTCAGCAAATGGGCCTGGTGGGCCCGGAGGTAATTGCAAAGTGTCGACTTTTGACATAAATTTACGACTTATTTAAATAATACATTATTAAGATCATGATTTTTATTATATAAATGCTTTTACAAATAAGTATGAATACTTAAAATCGGAAGAGCACACG